TACTGGACTCAAAACAAAGGGCAACACGCATGCAATTAGTCCATAAACACTGTTAGGAAATGGGACACAATGACCTGCGAGATGTCTTTTTGAACAACAAGTGCTCTCTTGTGCTTTATACAAATACTAGCTCATGACAATACATTATTTGCATTATTGACCTCAGGCAAATAATAAAATAAGAGTTGCTTGCCTACACTGATTCTTTTCAGGCTTCCTTCTTTAGAGCAGAAAAGAAGCTCTTGGCCTCTATTTTTAAATCTATCTTCATATCCCTTATCTGCCATGCCAGAGCTGCACAGGAAGATATCTAGCACCGTGCCAGCCCACACGCTTCAGCTTTTTTCAATTGAAAGATTCTTAAGAGAGATCTCCAAGTCAAGTGCCACGAATCATCTGTCAAGCTGCTCTATGGGAGAAGCTGCAAAAATATAAAAATATAAGTTCAGAGTGGTTCTGGTTCAAAAATTAATCAATAAGAAAGAGTCTTTTTAAGAGTTTTTAATCTAAGAGACATGACCCCATTAACAGAAAACAGTATGTTAATTTTACTGTCCGGTGAGACTTGAAGAGACTTGGATTTAGGGAGCAGGTCTAGGTCACTGTGGGTATCCTTTTTCCCTGCCTAGTATCAGTGTATTGTGTGTGGTCTCCTGTCTCTCAAACACCATTCATTGTCCAGGATCAAACAGATCTCCCTGAAGATAACCTTGGCTGCTTAAAGACCCATTTGGCAAAAAGTGACATAACATACAATTTCCAAAATCAGCTAGTCTATCTCACACACACTCAAGTGCTTTAATGTGCTCAATTACCAATGCATGCATCTTCAGAACAATACTATCAGCGCTGGATTTAATGCCTCAGAGCTTTTCCTCTCCAAAAAAATCTTAATTTTGGATAATTTCTTCCTAGTGAGGGAGGAGCAGAGATCACAGGATAACCTGGGATATCAGTCTGTTTTTGGTAGAAATCTCCAGAGCACTGATGCTGAAACAACAATAGGTGCAGATGCAGAAAAACAGCACACCAAGCAGCCCAAAGATGGCTCGGAGATCAAAGCTGACAGGCAGCATAGGAGTACAGCTTGTTCCATTACCCAACTATTAACATTCTTGTAGAGGTGACTATGATGTTCAAATGGAGGGTATGTGTGGACAACCCATTCTCACCCAACTACAATGAAGTGTCTTTAAAAAGTCAATCTTGCTTTCGGAGGCTCATTTAAAGTGAACCTTCACAGGGCCCTAATATTTTTAGACTAGCTAGCTTCCACACAGAGTACTTTTAATTCTATAACCGGATCAGACAATTTCATACTGCAGTGAGCCTGACAGATTGTCCTAAGAACAGCAGTGGATCTACAATTTCTTAATATTTCCAAAACATCAGATTTGATGTCATTAGGTATAATGTTTTGCAATCAAGCTTTGACAACACGCGCACCAAGGCAGACAGCAAATATTCAGAAAGCAGGGAGGGCGGTGAAAAAGAGACTCTCACTTTGCTGAATTACATCAAGAGATCATGATCCATGTGACTGATTTCCTAGTTGCTTGTTAAAACGATCAGATTAGTTCTGCTATTACAAATCATGTGTGAAAACTCTAGCATTGCGGAAAGTGTTTTGAATACTGCCTGCCATGATGAAAAGAAAAGCGTGGCATTAAGAATTAAAATTGGATTCAACTGACTGTGGCCTGGAGGTGGTTTATGAGCTGGATCCCGGGGTGGGCAGTGTTTCCTGTCCAGCTGACTGGGCTGCAAAGAACCAGCCAAGTGAGCAACAGTGCATTTCCTATTAATCTGCTGGGGTTAGCTGGGGTTAACTGCCAGAAGAGTCTTTAAATCCAATATCATGACTGCAAGTTTTTGAGAAGTAAAAGATTAACACTTTAAAAAGCAGAAGAACACTCCATCTAGTTTTGACTTTTTTACTATTTCAAACCCTTTTACCTACTCAAACAAGTCATTAATATTCTCTTGTTCCTTTTCCTTTCCTTTGCATGAATCAGCTGTACTTCTCAGTAGGCTATTTCCAGCAAGCTGAATCATGCATGGGTCATAGTTATTATTCAGAGTGTTAAATGACATGCACAAAGGCCCAATTATCTTTGCCAGCACCCAGAGTTGAAGAGAAAAAATGCAATTTCCTGATGCAAACATCCTCCTAAATTATCATGACTGAAATTCTTAAAATCCCAAATATATAATTTAAAAAGTTCACATTTGCACGCTGCACACACTAACCACAGACATCAAAAAGAGACATCTCTCTCACAGATGTTAACTGGCCATCCTACATTCTAAGCACCATTTTAGAAAGACCATGAGAAACACATAACCAGAGAGAACAGGATATAGACACTTAAACCTGCGCCAAGAGTACAAAACACTTCATCTTGTTTCATATCTATGCGTTTTGTCTTATGAGCCATTGCAGAACACATTTTGAAGCTCCTACGATTGAGTGAAACTGCTTCTGGTACATTTAATAATACTCCCACAATCTGAAAGAACATCTATTCAATCAAGGAAACACACCTATAAGAAAGCAATATATAAAAGGCGCATGTTAAAACTTTATAAGTCTCATATTTTGTCATGATGAAAATCATATTTTTATGGAACGGATTACAAAAGTACAGAGCATCTTAAAATCTCATGTGAAGCCTTGTACTAGTAAAAGATACAGCTATGTGAAACAAAGCAACGGCAGCATTTCAGACACAATATTTATGCAGTTTTGCATAAACGTTTGGATGTACACAAAATACCTTATTTAACTTCAGCATGTAAATAATCTCACATAACACCCCCCATAAATGTAAATAAGAATCAGAAACCTGAAACACAATTTTAAAATCCAGACCAATTCAGAGTCTTCCAAAAGACAACAAGAATTACAAATGTTTTTTTGACCTGCTCTGCAAATTAACATTCAATTTTGGCAAAGGTGGAAAGTTACTGGAGGACCAGCTGCTGCAGAGGGGACAGGGTGCCAGAGGGAGCCACAGACGATCACCACACAGCAGGACAGGCTGCCGGGCTTTTATACAGACAATCAGGAGAAGGTCCGGGGATTTAACATGCACTTCCATGCTCAGAAACAGTACATTAATTTATACACATCAAAGTGATAAAGATGACCAGATCCTTTAGGGTTGTAAAAGAACACATATTTACCACGTGAAAGGCTTAAATCGTAATCACCGTGGCTACAACACAATGAATACCTTTTAAAACAAACAGAGAAATTTACATATAACGTTGGTTCATAAAAGAATATATTTAAGAGGGTTTTTATAGGAGTTGCTCACAATGTGTGGTACAGAGGTACATGGTATACAGCATGTTATATGCCCATGGTGCCATTCAGGACTAATTTTGTCACATAAAAATCTGAACTTGAAAGCCCTATGAAACGCTGTTCTTGGAGCCGAGAGCACTCCTGTGCACACTTGTGGTCCAGCCCCCCCCACATTTAGCAGGGCGCCACAGCGGTAGCAGAAGGACAGTCAAATGTGACTGCCGCTGTGGGACAGGATGCCACTGGTACCGGCTGATGGCCAGATGTTCATGCAACCTGATCACCACCCCAGGGGGCTTTAAAGCCACAGCAGCATGCTTTCACAGCGCGGCCCTCACTTTATCTCTGTCCTCCGCAACACTGCAGACCAGACAGGATGCAATCTGTTCGAGAGCTGCCCAGGTCACACGCACAATGCTGTCCCACATCAGGTGAAAGACTTCTATTACTCCAGCAAATTGAAAATGGTCAACTGTGGCTTGCGACCACTTACATAATGAAATGGGTTGACATCCCCTATTTCAATCAGTGATAATTATATTTATAATACCAAATTAAGGTCAAGCAAACAAAAGCATTATTTAAGAACAAAGTGCCCCAATTACGGCAGTCCAGTGGCAAAATGAAGTGTTGTCATTTATAATAAAGCAATCATAGTGGGCTTTTAGAGCTTTTTTTATGTCATGTCGTTGAAATTTGGTTGCATTATTTAGTGTAGACTGCAGCAAACAAACTGTGAAATAATTTAATCTCTGCCGTAGCCTGTAAAGATTCCTGGTTTTGAACAGAAAGGAGGAAAAAGCGAGCAGATTTTAATTTCCCCCAAATGTCTTTGTTTTTTATATTGCAAATCATGCAAATCTTACATTACTGAACCACAAATGAAAACCAGAAGCAAGAACAAGGGGAGACCAGATCCACTGGCTAAAAACAGACCTCATTTGTCTCCTCACATCTTGATCCTGGGGACAACCGTCTTATGTGTAAACAGAAGACTTCAAGCATGACTACGAGAGGGAAATACACCACTTCTAAAATGTGTTTTGCACGACCACCCACCAAGCACTTCTCCTGAATGTGCAAGCAGACTTCTTTGCTTGTACAGTTTATCAGCGATGGTACTAAGCTCCGCTACACATATATTACTCATTCTCTTAAAACCTCACATTTGGATAGAGTTATCATTTCCACATCACATAGGCCACAAACATCTGTGGGTGCATGCGTGTGTACAGAAAAAGCAGTTCTCTCTCCACCAACAACAAAGCTCTTGGCCTTGAATTTCAAACTCCAGCATCTGAAAACCTTGATGATAGACAAAAAGAAATGCATATGTTTAGAAAATAGAATTTGAATAGGAAATAATACCCACTGAAAATATCAAATGGTCACATTGAAGAATGAACCCTGGAAGTGGTTTGGTCTCTGGACTCGCGACTGGAGCACTGTGGGCTCAAATCCCAGGTGCAGATGTTGCTGCTGTACCACTGAGCCAAAGTCCCTACAGTAAACCCAGGTCTATAAACCCATGGTCTGCATGACAAAAAGGGATAATTGCAACCTCTGCAAGTCGCTTGGAACATCAAAAACATCGGCCTATTAAGTTATAGTAATAAATCTTTAGTGCCACGCCCAGTAAACCAGGGCTTCAATACTGATGAGTTAAACTGGGAATTAATCGTCCACTCACCTGGTAGTACGATTTGATCTGGCGCACTAGTATAGACAAATTTTGTATCCTGAGAGTCGTATCGTTGTTCACTTTCTTGTTTGTTCTTTGAACAGAAGCATTAAGATTTCTGAAAGAAGAAAGATGGTCAGTATTAACACAATATAATTTCACTACAGTTGTTGAACAGAGATGAATTTTTTTTTTTTTATTTAAAATAGGGGAAGAAGGAAACTTCCATAGGATCTTTCTGTGCAAATAACACTTTGACAACATTTTACCTTAACCTGAAACCAATGTTAAAACAAGCATGGCCTTTACATCAACATTTTGAGGACACCAAAGAAAAGACAGACGCGAGTTACAGTAAAAGGAAATGAGATCAGGAAAACAACAGCAAGAATGAGATTTATTTTAATTTATGCAAGTCATTATGTCCAATTTCAATTAAGCTCGGATCATAATGAATCCATATTCATTACAGATAGCTTCAGATGGGTCTCTAAATGACAGAACGCATGTCAGGAAGGTTAATGAACAGTTAGCTAATTTTGTCATCTCCCATTATGGCCTAAAAACCATGTTAAAGCCTTCCCAATCACTGGCCAGACTTACACCAAGGAGCTGGAGCTGTTGTAACAGCACACTTACAGCACTTTTGCTGAACAGCTATCCCATTGCCAAATGGAACTCCACACTTGAAACATGGTGTCACTTAAGCAATCCAAATGTAAAAAGTGTTTCCAGAAGTCTCATCTTGATTCTGCTGTGGAACAAACCAGTACATTTTGTTCTGAACCGGGTGCGGCAAGCAGTGAACCAAAAACCCATTGATATTCCTTTTTTTAGATAAGATTACAAATTAAATAAAAATGCAAAATTAAGAAAATATACATGGATAACAAAATCATGTTACATGGATTTATGCAGGATAAATATTTACTCTTTAAAAAATGTTGTTTTGAACAATATAACGATGCACAAGCTGAAAAATTCAAGGTGATTTGATGTTTGTTATCCGAGGTCTGAGCTGAGAAGTAATGAAAACCACATTTTTGGAGGGATTGAAAATCTATTACTCTGACAGTTTTAATACCAGTGCCCTCAAAATACTCCTAGATAAAGACACATAAAAAAGTCTGATTAAAAGACACAGGGCATGGACAGATGGCTGTTTTTAGTTATAGGCTCTGACCTAATTTTGTACTGGAGCAAATCTGGTGAGCCAACGTTTCTGTTCGGAGCGAAGGGAATGTTTTGAACAGCAAAGCTGTGGGAGTGGGAGTAGCGGAGCACATTTTCGTGGTGAACCAGGATATTTTGGACCGCATGGCCACTCATTTCTATTGATCCAGCATAGTGCTTTTTGTTTCTTTGGAAAAACCAAATAGGCCAGCATCACAGCTATTGTGAAAGCTGTACTGGAAGAGCATCTCTGTTACATTTTAAACAAGGTTATCTTTGAAGCCACGAAGGACCCCTCTCTGTATCTGGCATATTTTAATATCACCGCTCTGTTATTGCTTTAAAGTTTCATTTATTCTCTCATGAACTCTTACTGAACCAGTCTCTCCTCCGTGCTTGAGTGTATGCAGTAAATGTTTAGATCGGTTCTCAGATGCTCTTATCTGATTTAGGCACAGACCTCTATCAAAGGTACCAAAAACACCAACTCACATCTGTAAAACTTAGGAGTGTATGCAATAAAGAGCTTCTTACTGGCATACTGTATGGCCTACTGTGCTGCACTAGACTTTCCAAATTATACAATTTATTGTACAATTTAGCGTTTAATGTAAATAACAGAAAATAAAGCAGAAGAAGCTAAATGATGATCATTTTCCAGCACGACAGGCTCTGTCCCGAGCCTTGACAGGTTCCACAGCAGTTTGCAAACCTGGGGTGCCTTGTCTGAGATTGGCTTCTTCCCTCTCCCTACAGTCGGAAACTCTCCATCAAGTCTGTGGGTTGTAATTCAAAGCTTTGCAAGAGGCCTGCAGTTTTGACTTAATCAGGGCCTCTGACTTGCTCCACACTCTTTAATACTCCGGCAAGTTAACTTGTAACACATTAATGTCACCCTATGACTGAAAACGCTTTACTCTCACTGCTCTGCCCCCACCAAAAACTATCTTTTTATAGTGTTGCAAATCAGGAACAAGGGTCTTTTTTCCCTGCAGTTTGAATAGATACAGTCACGTGAATCGCAAATCACTGCCTTTATTGAAGATGCACAGCAGGGGATCATTGTAATTAAATTTAATTAAATACCAGAGAATAAAATGAACCCCCCCATCGATGAAGACAGTTAGTTAAAAGAAAGAGTTGTCTATGAATGCTAATTAGGATATCTCCTCGATATGAGGTCACAATCCAATAAATGTAAACCTTAAACCTTGCACGGTGCTCGTTTTTCAACGGATATCAATGAGCATTAAAGCCCTGTGCAGCTGAATAGGACCCTTTGTAAGGTGGAAAATGAAAATGCTTCACTGACAAAATAGCCCAGCAAAATAGGCTGAATCTGTGAAGAAGTCAATAGGCAGCACAGCAGTAAAACACAGCCTAGAGCATTTTTACATTTATGAGTAACCTACTTATGACAAGTTGCATCAATTTCAGTTGAACTAAAAGATGGCTATTGTGTGAGACAGGGGATTGTGAGTACAGAACAATCCAAATATGTCGCTAGAGAAATCAGTCCAGTGTAGATAAAAAAAATGATCAAATAATGGCACTGGATATGCAACTAAAAAAAAATAAATAAATTACACCAGTGCAAACCAGATGCACGTGCTAGTCCTGAGAGCACAATTACACTGGACACTGGCTTCTGACCAGGGAGTCTCTTACAATGCAACTGTTGCTGGACAGTCACAAGTGAAGAGACAAGGCTCCCAGGGGAGTCAGAGCAACCCAAATGTAACGGATCCTCTCCTCCTGCACGTGCCATAGCTAAATGAGACATAAGGCCTGCTGTGCGAATGGCGCTCTGCTGGAACAGCAAAACAGAACAGAGAAGGGAACCACAGTGCCAGCGTGCATACTGTAGAAGAGATCCGATATTTCGGTTCTGCCGTCATAAACAAGAAGAGTGATATCCCCCAGAATAAAACATAAAGAAAAGAAACTCAATAGCGTCGTGTAGTAGTGTAAATGTTCAGCCCTGTCAAATGAAAAATGGCAGGAGTCAAAGCCGCTGCATCTCAAGAGGAGAGTTTTAAAAGTGTTTAATACCTTCACTCTCGTGCTCTACGAGCCACTTAAACATTTTGTTTCATGTAGTTTAATTTAGCACCAGCTAAACAAAGTATTTGCCTCAACAGCATGCTGAAAACGTTGAGACGAGGGTTATTAGGTGTTGTTTTTTTGGTTTACAACATACTGGCTGCAAAAACGTCAGCTACAGAATACAACAGTGCTGTACCACAGGGGCGAAGCACGTATGTAAAAATGACATGGCTAGCATGGTTCGTCACATTCAGGGTCAACAGCAACACATGCTCTCAAGATCTCACAGGCAATGACTGAAAACAAAGCACAGCAACTGCCAAGCAAGTGCTAATTTAATCACAAATTACCTAAAACAGGATACAAAGGTAAAAAATACATAATTAAGAAAAAGGCTTCACTGGAGTTCTGGTAGCTATAGCACAGTATAGAGGCCCGTTAACCTCCTGTTGGACTCTGAGGCCTTTCATCTGCCCAGATAAGGATCACCAACAAGGATTCTGACAAGCACACACAAGGAACTCTCCAAGAATTCAAGGAATTTTGACATGGAGCTTAAAAACATAGAAACATTTTTAAAGAAATTGTACATTTATGTTGGCACTGGGCTCTGTAAAACACTAAAATAAAAATGTAAACAAATGGAAGACAATATTTAGGCCAAGAAGTCACAAAAAAACAACCGATGGATTAATTGCTCTGCCAAATTTTAGCCAGGACTGTACAGCAATCCTTTTGGGTGTTTTGAAATTAATATTTGAGAGAGACTGATGAATAACAGCATACAAATCAGATGGATTGAGGCCACATTCTGCTGCATGACTTCACAGGTAACGAAGGAGGTATTTATAATGGAGATGGAATAAACTATACTGTACAACAGCTGAGAACATCATTTAATAATTAATCCACATTACATAAACATTCATACAATGAAGTTTTAAAATTCATATAGTGGAACTTGCAGGGAATACAAACATTTCAACATGGTAAATATTAGAAGGAAACATTTTATACTGTTAATTGTTTAATCAAGTCCACATAAAAACAAAACAGACCTAATCTAACTTAAATATGTGCTTTAAAACTGTCACATAATTATAATACAAAGCTTACAATATGCTGGACATAATAGGGTTGACTATTTAATGCACATCAGCAAAAATTAAGATGTCAAAAAGTTCTCTATTTGGGGGGGGAGGGGGGGGGGGTCAGGATTAATGGGAAGTAAGTTCTGACAACATTTCAAACCAAAGCACAAAAACTAGCAATAAAGTCCCAGTATTAAGGGCTCTCACAACAATCTGCTTAATAAAGACCCTCCCTCTGCAAACCGACAGCTCTCCACCATTTAGTTCCTGAGTCCTGCCTGACTGACACACTGACCGACATTATCAGAACTGGAATCTGATAGCTTAATGGCCACAGCATGCCTTAGCCTCAGCTCTCCACATCATCTCCTGCCATCTGTGCATGTTTCAGTGTAAACCATTAACTAATCCAAGAGGGTTTCCCAATCCCCAGGAAGGCTGCAAGCTGTAGTGCTTCCCTTGTTTCAGACAGCGTGACAGGACGCCAAGATGACCAGAGAACATACACAATCCCACACTTCCTTTTTCAAAAGCAGAAAACACAGCACTGTGCTTGTCCTTCGACCTGTCTTCATGAGATCGCCATGGCAGGGTGAACAGTGGTCCATTAAATATCTTTCAAACTCAAAAGCTCTTGTCCCCTTCTGCGGGCTATGACAGGCTTGAATGCTTCAATGACTAGCTCCTCTAGACCGACCCTACCGCTGCACCACATGGGTGATAATTAGATGTCAGACAGTACATTATACAGGTTTGCTTAAGGTCTCTAGCTGTCCCCTTTCAGCTGTTCGGATTGAAATATTGCCAGCGTGCTGTACAGCAGGAGGAGAATGGATAAGATGAAAGAGACAGATACCTCTTGTACTCTTAAGTCTCTGCACCTCCCGCCACATACAGCGCAATTTTCTGACAGTGATGAGTGCCCTGGTTGTAAACGAACTGTCGTTTAAGCTCTAAATTGATTTGTACGATCAATCCTTTACCCATTTTTCTTGATAATCACCCAGCTTGTCTAAAGCTGGGACAGGAGACCCTCCATGAGACAGGGTTCTCCAATCCCAATGTCAGTATTGATTTCCGAATGAAAAAACTCCCTTTATCGCCATGAACTACCGTCCCCAATAACCATAACTCACTGCCGTTTAAGAAAACAACAAAGGCGGCCACGCCTTATCGTGCACGACTAATTTGCTTTACAAATTACCCGGCAGTAAATCAGTTTCATTATGTTTAATATACACAGCTATACACAGTCTCCAAAGCGTACATTCCCAGCTATTCAGGCATTCATGTGGTTTGTTTTCGTCTCTTCTCAAGCACACTGTGACACTATGAACTGGTCATTTACTTAGGGCTCGGGGAATCAAAAATTGAAAACAAAACAGGGTCTCAGAAATAAAGACTTCATCTGGAAAGACCTTCAACAGAGATTTTCAACTGGAAAGCTGTGTTCCAAGTGAAAATATGACCCATGTGTACTTAAGGCTCCACAGGACAAAGAAGTACTTCATGAGTAAGTTTGACAAGGCATCCTCTGTTGTTCAGCTGTAGACTGAATACCATGATTTACTCAGGAACCACTGCAGAGACTAACAGCGACAGATGTCATCACAGTCTCAGAAAAGACAGGCGAAGACTTATGTTGTTTGAAGAGATGCCTACCAGAGTTTTGGCTGACTCCACACAGAAATTTTTCTCAAAAACTAAAGCAAGACAAAATGTGCTGCTCTCAGTCTATAGGTATATATTTTTATTATAACAGGCAGAAAATGAAAAAGGGTACTCAGGTTGTTGATATTTTTTAAACTTGTGCTATCTGTTAAAGATGGAACCACAGTCTTACTCATTTGGCGCAGATCAAGGCAAAAAAGCGTGGGAGACCCTTTAGCAGAAAATAATTATAAAACACTGGAATTTAAATTTCTGGTATCTTACAAATGCTATGCGCAAGCTTTAGATGATTCTGGCACTGTAATCACATTTTTAACAAGAAACAGTAACCCCTTTAAAATGATCAATAATAAGCAATTAGCAGACAACCACTGAGTCATCACATTACAAAGCCTTGACTGTCTCTAGGAATTTAGAAGTGTTGAGCTCTAAAAGACAGAAGTACAAATTAAGATTTCCTGAAGCCCGCGGGTCAGCATTAGTTTACAGTTTTATCAGACCCTGATCTTACTTCTAGAACCAGGCCAGAAGTCTTAGTTTGCAAAGCTAATGATTTTAAGGCAATTATAGGGCACGACTGATGGTGACAAAACTGACACTCTCACCATGGTGCTAAACGAACAGTGTTGATACCGCAATACACAATGTACTTTATGTATCAACATATCAGTCACTTTCTCTAAACTGTTTCAAATCTAGACTCAAAACCTTCTTCTTTAGAAGGGCCTTCACTTAACTGTTATGTTCCCCTTTACTCCTACCGTATTCAGTACCCCCATCTACAGTCCCCTCTCATTGGGCCTTTATATTGTACATAACTTGTGTTTTGTTTTTTTGGTGTTGTCGTTCTGTAAAGTGCTTTGAGAAGCCACCTTTAAAGGTGCTATATAAAATGAAGCTTATTATTATTACCACAATACCAGCCCATTTATTAGCACGTACAGTGTCTCACCTGATTGAGAGACAACTTTAAAAAGGATCAGTCTGTTCAGTTTAAGTACCAGCAAGTGATGATCTTCAAAAGTAACAAAATGTTTATCTTAGTCTTTTTTTTTTACTGTACTGCTCAGCTAAAATGAGGAAAACAGCCAAGGACGAGAAGGTTTCGGAAGATATTATGGGCCAAGTAAGACTCCCACGAGCCAAACAGGGCTTCCTGACTGTCCTACAGAGGCTGCAGCCAAGAAAGAAAAAAACAATTTGGCTGACAAAAAATGAATCCCTAACAATGAATTATTCCAATCATTTACTGGAGGAAAGAAACACATACATGTTCCCAACAAAATGTCAAAACAGAGTATTTCCACTGATATCCTGCCTGTGGTGCCCTGGGATTTGTGGCTCTGTCCTCGGCTGACGGGCACAGGTCACCCAGGGTTCACCCTGTCCTCTAACCAACTTACAATAATGCAACACTGGACCCACCAGCCAAAAGCTACCAGTAAACAAGGACAGTGTGCTTGGGGCTGCTAGCTAAGGAACAACACACTTTCCAGTGCAAGACAGCTATGAGCCACCAGCCGCCAGAGCAGCCGTCGGCCAAGTTCAGTCCAACAGTTAAGATGGCCTAGTGGGCACAGAGCACCGCTGGGTCTCAAAACCACTGCACTGCTAAACCCTAGTGCTTAGTGCTGGCAGACCTCAGGCCTCTCCTGATAAGCAGGTTTCGAGCAAACTACGTGGATGTGCATTTACAAATGAGAAAACAGAAGGCACTTTGTTGAGGTGTCTGGAACAAACTCCCCAGTCATGTTGTTGAGGCCGGTATCCCGACTCTCTTCAGCTGGATGAGATTCTCTGGATCAATTAGCTACTGACAACTGAACTGGCTAGACGGGTCAAACAGTGCCTTCTTGTTTGTAACCATCCTCATGTACAGGAGGTTTTCAACATTTTGCTCAGACCACGACTGGGAGACCTATCAAGCCTGACCTTCTCTGCTGTCTGTGCCATGAAACGGCCGCTCATTCGCCCAGCCTAAGGTCCCCATTCATCTGTACTTGACAACAGCAGACACCTTGACATCATCTTCAAAGGCACGGTCGTACGAAATTGATTTTAAAATTCCTTCGGTGTGCGAACATCTCTTGGTGTTCCTATTGATGTGTGGTCTCTTATGGCAGCTGGAACCCACAAAAAACGCAAGGCGATTCAAAAACAACGAAAATGCCAATATCTTTCAGCGACTCCCCCCGCCTCAACCCCTCAGTTCCTCTTTGGCCAATTGCATCCGAAAATGTAAAAAAGAAATCGCCATTGTGAGTCAGGAAGCGCCGCATAACGCAGAATGCATCCTGCTCCCTGTACGAGCACACAGATCCCACACACACACACACACACACACACACACACACACAGGGCAGCGCTTCCTTTAGCGTGCAGATGACAGTTCGCCTGACCGCCCGAGTCCCAGCCTCCCCGCCCGCCGGCTCTGATCCCGGTGCCGAAAACCGGATCGCCCCGGGCGTCCGCGGGAAACATGGGCGGGGGCCACGCAGGACACCCGTTTGCACCACCGTGCTGCACAGCCCCCTTCGGCACCGACATCTGCCCTTTCAAAAACAGCCTACAGCCGTCAGCACGGCTCCCTAGGCGCCGGGGGTTTACCATCCCTGCCCGTTTCAGGCCATGCAGGGGAGAAGCACACCGTCGCCAATTGCCATGTTTAATACCGCGCTGTAGCGGTGAGCACACATCCACACAGCCCCGGGAGGTGGGGGGGGGGAGATACTTACATCTGGAGCATGATCTCGTTTAAATAGACGCCGTCCACTAGCTGTACATACTCCGCAAGGCACCCGCCGTCTTTCCCAGATAGGAGCCCGAACGTTTTGACCTGAAGCGCGCAAGCAAAGGTAATTGTTAAAAAAAATAAAAAATAAAAGAGGATAAGTGCCCGAGAAAGGAAATGCCATGAGGCTAAGAAAGGGGAGACCTTACCCAAGTCACCAACGGCGTGCGCATGAACTGCTCCAGCAAGGGCGTGAATACTTCGCTTTCCATGTCGGAGTGTGTGATCCCCCCACAACAACGGCAACAGAAAATAACAATAACACAAGGATTGTTGTGTAGTATTTTAGGACGGGCGTCCTCGTCTCATCCGATGAAGGACAAAAAAAATATATAGATCCTTTATTTAGGCGCTGTTCCGGCTCTGGGCGGTAGAAGTGAAGGCAACCGTGCCATCGAGCTCCGGTCCGAGAGGAGAGAAATCAGGAAAAATAAACATCCAAACATTTCTTAAGATCCGGCTTGGACGGAGGAAGGTGAAAGGGTTTCCCCCAGACCCAGAAAGCCACGCTGTCCGTGACGAGGGAGGCAGGTTTGTGCGAGTTGAGCTATATTGTTAAGATCCCGGTCTGTGCTGGAGGGGGTCTAACGCCAATTTCACCAAAAGCAGGGGAAAAAAATTCCCCTACAGTCCTGCGTCTCAACAGGGGGCTGAACGGAAATACAAATTCTTACGTACGGTCATGTCCCCCCTGCTCCTCCAAAAAAAAAAAATTTAAAAAAAACAACTTGAATTACGGATTTAAAAAAACACAATCCTCATTGAGCCCTCTTCTTCAGGAAAGGGTAAAAAAAAATCACAAGGAGCGGACGGTTACCTCTTTAACACGCCCGCCACAGAATGATGTTGGGTTTTTTTTTTCTTTTAGGAAAAACTGTGCCGTTAATTAGAAAATTACGACGGTTTTTAATCGGTAAAAGCGGTCCGCGCGGCGACGTCCTGTACGCGTCAAGGCTCCCCGTGAGCTGCCTGTACAGCAGCACGCGCTGCTCGCTCTCCCGGCTGCCAAGTAACGGCCGCGAGCTGCCAGTCGGGGACGCGAAGAGCCGAAGCACCACCCCTCCCTCCCGGCCCGTCTCACTGTCTCCCTCCCTCTCTGTCTGTCTCCGTCTCCCCGAGCCTGCGGGGGGCACTGATTTACCCGCACGAGACTCATCTACCTCCGCCAAAGCTCGCCGGGCTCGTATCTTGGAATGAGATAAGAAAAATAGTGCTTTAAAAAACTTATCCGCCCCCCCCCCTTCTCCTCCTGAGTGCTTTAGTCACGACCCCCAAATTTTCGGGGTCCTGATTGATTTGAGGGGGGGGGGGTTGTTATACAACCCCTTGTACTAATTAAATCCTGTCCAAAACCGAGACCAGGAACCCGCCTAAACCGAATCGTCCTTTAAAGGAAGCTCGTAGGGGATGCGTCCAGGTTGAAATGTTATTCCCTGCTAACGAGACCGTCATTGTATTGCCTAGTTTCTGGAATATAGGAAAGCCGCTGTAGATGGGTCTGGCTGTTAAACAGCACTAGCTTGTGCTCCTATCACCTTTTTAAAGGGACCGAAATCCCATGTCCGATTAGGAGGGGCAACAGCGACGCCTGCTGTTAGCTACGGGTTGAAACACGCCGGTGACTTGATGCCCAAGAGGCCGGCTTAGACGGAGAGAGGCGGTAATGCGAAGGTGTCGTTCCCAACACAGTCTAGGGATTTGTCGTTATCGTTGACAATGCGTATGTGTGCCCAGTGTCCTGACTCAATGATCCTGCTGCCGTGATTTGACAAAGTCAGTGAGCCCCTGCCTTGATCCGAGAGACGACTCAGCCATCACCCAGTCCTGTAGGTTCTTCTTTTGCTGAGGTTTTTATATTCTCATTTGTTGTTTTTTTTTTTTGTTGTTGTTCTTTTGAAGATCTCTTGTGTTTTGCGGCACAGTTGTATGTTTTTCCACACCGGCTATTAAGGGTTCTCATGTTTTCTTAACATATTTTTTTTTAAATCTGAGCTTAATTGTGTTAAGCATGGGGATTGATGATCGGTTTCTGGTTTGTTTGTGGACTTTAGGTTAAGTAATCGACCAGGGTGAGAGTTTTTTTATTACTCAGAGCTTGAAGAGGTTCCGACTGAGAGGAGGCCATTAACACTGACAACGGGCCAATTCCAGGGACACAGTGATGCCCCTCACACCAGCTGCTGTCGCTGCAGAGTCGGTCCTGTCCGAAGACTTCGGCTCACAGCTCTCGGACTGAACACCAGTGTGCCCAGTCTCCCTGCTCAGTGTAGCTTCAGTGGCAGCCCCCTGTGGTCACAAACTACCTGTTCAATCAGTGGATACTCCATTCTCTGCTTGCTGGGTTGTTAGTATCTAATCGGTCCCAAAGTGTCGCCCACATAGATTCCTCTGGGATGGTGGGGTGGGAAGGAAGCGTTGGAACATAAACAGCTTTATGGGCCCAGTTTGTAGCTGTTCTGTACTTTCCCACTGACTGCACAACATGAGGCCATGAGGCCATAGTAATGGACACTACATCAAAGTAAAAGAATGGTTTCAAAAGAGAGATGATCTAGGCAATTTGGTAGTAGCTCATTGGTCCAAGGATCTCATCCAGCTGGTTCATGAAGGACTTCAACAGCAAGGCTGGGCAGCTTGTTCCACACTCCTGCCACCCTGTGGGTAAGACAGCACCTCCTTATAAATAAGAAATCATAATGAGGTAGAAGGTGTAGGTGTGGTCCAAGGGGCACGGCTAAATTTGTTCGCCAATTGCTCTGCTTGTGGGTAGAAGCTATTGAGGAATCTAGTGGTAAGTGTCCGTATGCTCTTGTATCTCTTGCCTAAGGGCAGTGGGGTGAAGAGCTCATGCCCGGGGTGATCACTGTCCTCTGTGATGGCCAGAATTCTACCACTGCAGCGGTCCGCATAGAGCTGTTTAATCTCGGTGAGACCACAGCCGATGATCTTCTGGGCCATATTGACCATTCTCTGCAGTGCCTTTCTCTCTTGAGAAGAGGTGTTGCCCTACCACACGGTGATCCCATTGGTGAGGACGCTCTCGATGGTGCAGCAGTAGAAGTTCACCAACACAGGTACTGGCATCCCCCATCGCTTGAGGCACCTCAGGAAATAAAGATGCTGCTGAGCCTTCTTCAAGATAGAGTCAGGAGATTCCTTTAAGCCTCGGAATGTATCTCGTTGATCTTCTCCTGACAGATTCCAGAGCAGCAATTTTTTATTCGTTTTTCTCAGGTGTGTGTGACACAGAGTTTTATTTCTATAACATAGTTATCCATTAGATGGATAAAGTCATCTGATTTTACTTTTTAGACAGAACAACAACCGTTACGAGTTTTGCTCCTTCAAGTTTAAAGCGTGGATTCAAATATTTCATCCATTATGTTATTATGTTAGGGTTGTCTTATGGAAAACCTGGCGTACAGCTGACACAAGCCCTGGTGGCTTCCTTTAACACTAAATCTGAACAACATTTAATTTTGATAAACTATAAATAATTCCTCTTAACAGGCAGTGTAAGGATTAACGGGGAGGCTCTGTATCGTGTTTCATGTTCTTAAGCCCAGTGCAGCTGTGTGTTGTATTGACTGACACCTAAATCCTAGCTACACTATTGGTAAACCTCAGCAAGCGTCAATACTCATAAGCAGTACATTGCACATCCGCTCTGTGGGGGGTGTGCAGTACAATGCTAATTAATGATTTTAACGAACTATCCTACTTGTGGACGAGCATTTCAGAATTCACCACCCGTGTCATTATTAATTAAAGCTTCTAAGCTTGTATGTGCGTTTTCATTAACCAGTTCAAGCACAGTGCTATATCACTGAAAAAGTCCTTCCCATTTTTTTAGCAGAAAATAAAATGTCTAACTTAATTGTCATCGACGTGTGTTTAAAGGTAGCTGTGATTTAATTTAGTCTTTGATGTGGGGCAGTCTGATGGCCACCGAATGAAAAACTTCTATAATCAATTCTACTTGTGTGTTTCATTGGTACAGCCACACAGCTTGTGCAAACCTGGAATGGATCAAGGCTTTGAAAAGGGCGACTGGTCTTTTGGCAGAAGCACCGTATGCAAAATCTTTTAAAAACCTGCGCGCTCTTTCAAATGATGCAGCGAGCCCTACTGGCACGCTGTCTTTTTTTTTTTAATCCATCCATAAACTCAGATTAATACGATGTGTTTTTGTTTGAAAAGTGAGCGTTAAACTGTCCTCATGACGTCCATGTGGTTTCTAGATTGGCTGGGCCGGAGGCCAAGGGACAGTCGCGGCTCGGCTTCCGAGAGATCCGGAGCTCATTCCAAGCACGTCAGGAAAACGCAGCCCAGCAAGATCTGCTCTTTCATTTCGACCCGACCCGTTTGGGGGGATAAAAAGTGGAAACTAAGCTCCCGTGCTGTTGGCTGCTTGTCTGTAGAGCCAGTATCCACAGGATGTTTCAACTGAAACCGCCCCCTTTTCTTCAACTTAGAAAAGATGCGCATGTAAATTACAGAGTGTGACATTCACAATATTAAAAGTGGCGCTCGCTAATTAGGGGTCGTCTCTCCTTGACAAATAGGCTCGTTGCTCATGAAGGTTTTGCCTCCGGTCACTTTACAGTGCAATTCATCACCAGGGGATGAAGAAACTGTTTTTATCAGCAGCATTCCAGTCTCAGCTGGGGATAGCAGCGATTCAGAGACGCCTTTAACAGCGCTTCAAAGTCCTGGTTTGTTGACGCCGAGAAATCAGACCACCAGGTTCTGTTTGATCAATGTCGCAGATTTACCACTTCTAGACTGTTGTGACTGTTCCAACAGGAAACCCTTGGAATACCTAAGTCCTATAAAATTTACAAAGAAGTTCTGATGCTCTTGGTTTTTAGTTAGTAATTGTAACATTGAAAAATGCCTCAATTTCTTTGAAAGCCTGTTTTTCCTGCTTGAACCCTGCATTTCACCAAAAGGTGGTCTCTGCGTTAACAGCTTGTACTTGAACTTAGACTGCTCATTTCTAGGTGCAATTACTGACTACACAGCCGTAACGTTTGCAATCAGACTCCGACTCCAAAGTCATGTCTGGCACACCCAGGCGAACATCAACATTCATAACTTCAACTCTCCAAACAACCCCGGGTCAGGCATGCTTCAAGAAAATAACCTGTAACCTATAACAGTACCTTTGCAGATACATGAACGAACTGTAATTTTTTAGAACTAGTAAAAGCCTCAAATAAATGTTATGCCATCTGATAAAATATTTGCTGATTCTATTAATTTTTATAAAAATGTATTTGAAATCATTTGCAACACAAATTTGCACAGTGTGCACACATTTTGTTGCAACTTGCTCCAGACAGACCAAGGACATCTAACCTATGGCCGTTAGATGAACCAGGCAGAGCAGGCAGGCGGGCTGTTTTTCTGGAGGACTGGGTGGCAGAGAGGATCAGACCACATCAGAACATCAAGACAGTGTCCAGCCCAGTCTGCTTTGGAAAGGGAACCGCGGAGCAAATATGTTCTTCGGCTAAAATAGCGCGAACGCTAAGTCTTAATTAAGCTTCGCAGCAGAGACTTCTTCCGCTGTTTCAGGGAAACACGAGCTTCTCCTGTCAGCCGCACATTTTTTATCTTTAATGTAACCAACAAATGCTGCATTTGATCCCCCTGCAGCACCAGCACACTGCGCTTCACAATATATGGAATTGTGCAAAAGGCCTGACCTACTTATTCTGTAATCTCTCGCTTCCTCGGTATCCAGTGGAGTCGATATTGAAAAATCAGACCGGGGATATTGAACCCCCCACCCTTGCTGCTGGAATAAAAATCATTAGCTCCTTTGACACTCCTCTCTGAAAACAAGAAGTGAGGCTTCGAAAGATCAATTACAATTATGTCGCTACCGCCCAGAAGATAAGGGATTTGTTTCCAGACGGATTCGCTTAATGAGGTCCAAAATGAATGGCGAGGCTGACTTAATCCATTTACATGATGATTTCAGTTTATACAGGAGTTAATACATGCTGAGAAAGCAAATACATGTCTTTTCTGGCCTTGAAAAGGCTTCCCCCCTCATTTACTAGGTGTTTATTCCCACTCCAGCGGTGGGCGTTCTTCCAGAGCGCAGTAAAAAGGCCTAAGCGACTCCGATGTGGTCAAGGACTGGGAGCTGGGCAGCAGAG